CATGGATATGACAAATCATAAACCCAGAGATGAAGATCTAAACAACATAGTTAGCAGAAACACTGACACAATCGTCCGTAGTGCGTGGCGGCGATGGCGGCGCCGCCGGCGGCGGCAGCTGCCCGGCCGACCAGACGACGGGCGCGGCGGCGGCAGCGTACACGGGACCTTCATGCGGTCACCTGTTTAATCAAATATCGGGACTGCATGCCCTGCCCCGCCCAACAAACCGACGAAGCTCGCTGCACATGGCTGTAGTAGGTATTCCAATTTTATTTTGTGTTTCTGCGATATGTGTAGTGTGCTGACTTTTGATTATTAGTCACCGATGATTTTCCTAGTTTGTTGAGTTTCGGTTTCTTTGTCGGTCACCCATATTTATGAGTGACCCCCACTTCTTTTTGAAGTAGTCTTGCTTGCCGGTATGTTCAGCTGCTTTGCTTTCTACTTCAAGTTCTTGTTTTATTTTGTTGTGTAAGTGAATAATATTTGGTGAGATCTCTTTCATACGTGCTGAATAAATGACTAGCTTTGCTAATGTTATTATGCATGTTTCTCTTGCGCTTATGTCTTTGGGAAAAAACCACAGTTTAGGATCTAAGCTTAAGTTGATGTTGTATTTGTCCAATATGTCCGATTTCACCGCGTTGATAAACTGCTTTGTTATCGGACAGTACCAGAACAGATGAGCTAGTGTTTCCGGCTCCATGTTACAAAAAGTACAACTTTCACTAGCTTTTATTTTTATTATATTTAAATATTTATTTGTAGCGAGGATACGATTAACGAGCTTATAATGGAAAATCCTTATGTGTGTTGACTTTGTGGCGTTATTAACCTCAAGGCAGCTATGTTCGTCATAGCATCCAACATCTCTTATCCATTTCTGTTTTTGTCTTTCGTCAGATTCTCTTAGCTCTATCTTTCTATGTTGTACTAATTTAGTGTAGGCTAAACGAGAGAAATTAGCCTCGTTCATTACCAAATTCATTCTGAATGGAATCGTCGGTTGACATATTTTGTCCATTACTTCTGACTTCATGGAGCTGGGTAAACTTCGAATCAAGCTGGTATAACAGAGAATGGTCATCTTTATGTGATACGCTCTCTGTAAGCTCTCTTTTGTGTGCAACCGCCCCGTATTTTCGTCAATCAAGTCGCCCAGAAATCGTAAACCTTTTGTTTGCCAACTTTTTATGATGGAGCATGTAAATTTGGTATAGTCTGAAAACCATATGTTTTCAGACATTATTTCTGGCGTATCTAGTCGGTATATGCTAGTGAAATATGCAAATGCGCCCAATACATCTCTCCAGAACGGGTTGCTCGCTTTACTACTTATTTTGTTCAGATATTTACTTCCATATGAAAAAATATCTTGTATGTTTGTTACCTCTAAAGCAAAGATGTTAACCCATGGAGCCCGACTATTTACTAATCTTTTGAGCCATGTGAGTTTCATGCTCATTATGAACGCTTGGATGTCAACCATCTTTAAACCTCCGTCTTTATAGCTTTGGGATAATTTGGCACGCTTGATACGGTCGTTCTTACCTGCCCATACGAATGAGTACAATAAATTATTGAGACGTTTCAAGTTAATCTGTGTTGGGTTAGGCAGGGCTGTGAATAAATGCACAAATTTTGCTATGAATAAAGACTTCACTACCGTGATCCTTCCGAGAATAGTTAAGTTTCTTCTACGCCACTGTGCCATTTCTTTTTGCAATTGCAATAGCTTTGGCTCCAAGTTGACACTAGTTATATTGGTACTTTGGTTATTAAAAACAATACCCAATATTTTCATATCACTGACGCATTTAACACCATGGATGTCTTCCATATTCTCTTGAAACGGCCCTATTGGGAGACACGTTGTTTTGTCTATGTTAATGTATAACCCAGATGCTTCGGAGAAGATTTTTAATTCATTCAAGGCTTCTTTCACACACCTTGCGTCCTCGAGAAATAATACGGTGTCGTCGGCGTACTGCGAAATTCGTATTTCGACATGATTTGTTAGCGTGATGCCCCTCAACTGTTTGGATTCCTTAATTTTTATTGCCAATATATTGACCGCCAAATTAAATAAATAACCGGAGCTTGGGTCTCCCTGTCGAATTCCGGAATTAAGCGTTATCTTATCCCCTAAGTAGCCGTTTAGTAAAAATCGTGAGAAGTTTTCGCCATTGAGATATAAGAGATTAACAGTCTCTCTGAAAACCGGACCAAAGTTATACTTTTCTAAGACTCTGTCTATGAATTGCCAAGATATAGAATCGAATGCCGCCTCAAAATCGACAGACATAATTAATCCTGGACTTTCGTTTTCCAACAGCTTACTAATGACGTCAAATACTAAACGTGTATTTTCTCCAATAAAACGGCCTCTGATATATGCCGTCTGGCAGGGATCGATCAATTTATCTATTACTTTTTGAAATCTGACTGCAATAGCTGTTGATATGATCTTGAAATCTACATTTAATAATGTTATCGGCCGCCATCCTTTTAAACTATTGGGCGATTTTCCAGCTTTGGGGATCATAGTGATGATACCCTCTCGATGAGTCGAAGGCATCTTACCTTGCTCGTAAGAGAAAATTAGAGTTCTATACAAAAACGGTCCCAATTTGTCCCAAAATTTTCTGAAAAAACACGCTGTATATCCGTTCGAGCCGGGTGACTTTCCTTTCTTCATTTTGCGCAAAGCGTCTGTCAGTTCATCAAACGTTATGGGTTTATCTAGCAGTGCGTTTTCATGTGCACTTAGTGAATTTGACGAAGTCATTGTGAGGTAGCTGGTCATTGATGGCAGCAATATGTGCGGTTTATTATATTTCTTCGACATGTCTCGAGTAAATTCGTTTAGTATTGCGGATGTCTTTGATACTTTTTTGCCCTGAATTGCAAGAGATGTTACAGTTTTTTTCATGGCATTTCTCTTTTCAAGTCCAAGAAAATACTTTGTCGATTTTTCGCCCTCTTCGTGCCACTTTGTTTTTGATCGGACGATCAGGCCATTAATAGTGGGTTTTCTCATTTCCTCAAGCTCCTCCTTAAGTGTTTTCAAGCGAATATAATTCTCTTCCGATCTTGCTATTGTTAACCTAGCAGCTGCGTCTGTAATCTTGTCAGATAACTCTTTCTCTTTTTCTCTGATTCGTCTCGTCTTTCTTTTAGAATATTTGACGGTTTCGCCCCGGATCATTAACAGTAGGGTTTCATAGAATAAATTATCATCGACCTTGAACTGTATATCCTTATAGTTCATCCCATCTGAAATAAATGTCTGTGTGTATAATGGGACGGCATATTGCTGTATAGTATTCTTAATGCATTCTTCTACCGTCTTAACATAGTCTTCATCATCCAGTAGGGACTCGTTGAACTTCCACAGTCCCGGTCCTCGTGATTCACCTAGGACCAACCAGACTGAAACTTGACTATGATCTGTGCGATAGCCCGGAAAAATTTTCACGTCATGACATAAACTAACTAAATGTTGACTAACAAAGAACATGTCTAGCCTGGCACCTTTGTCGTAGGCTGGTGTGTGCCAGGTATATTGTTTATCTCCGGGGTTATGAATTCTCCAAATGTCAACAAGATTATGTTTCTCACAAGCTGAGAGGAATTCTCTTCTAGCGTTAACGTTATTTTCCTGGACATAGCCGTAGCAATCGATGTCAACATTCAGAACGAAATTGAAGTCTCCACCAATGATTGTGTGGTCACAGTCCACACTGTCTAGGATATCACCTATACGTTCATAAAAGCTTGGACTATCGCGATTCGGCCCGTATACACTGCCTATAAGAAATGTTTCTGTTCCGATTTTACATTCTAGAAAGACATAATTTCCTTCACTGTTGGTAAATGTATTCATTACATCATGTTGAATTCTTTTATTGATGAGTATTGAAGTTCCTCTACTGTTATATTTATAAAAGGAATGATATGCTTTTCCCTTCCATAAACTGTTAAATGCACTTACTTTTTCGGTTGTTAAGTGTGTATCTTGAAGTAACACAATGTCACTGTTTTTACTTCTTATGTAATGCATCACATCTCTACGTTTATGTTGAGCGCCTAGGCCTCGCGCATTACATGAAATTATATTAATTTTAGCTATCTTTACTTACTAACTGAAAGAAAGAGAGAAGAAAGAAAGAGAAAGAAATAGGGGATGTTTTAACTGCTGTGTCCGTGTCGCTTGCGGTGGATTTGTTAACTAGAGTACCAGTAGCGCTGCCACTGCATGTAGAGACAAATTCAGTAACATCTAGGGTTAATTTATAAACTGTTCTACTGCTTACCAAAGTCTCAAAAGGATGCGGGAGGATCGAAATGCAGCGAGCTTCGCCGGCCGCAGGCAGCACCGGTGACTGCGCAGTTCGACAAGGAGTTACTAGCTGGTGTTTCTCCGCCGCCGCCGCGCACCGCCCAGAAGCCGAAGCAGATGCCGCCACCGGCCACGCCGCCGACACTACCAGCAGCCCGGCGAAAGTGCAGCCCACCACAACTATCCTGAGGACAAATGAAATGCAAGGGACAGAGCGGAACCAAACATACTTTACACAATAGAATGAGCGCATCAATGTAGAAAGAACTGTTAAAGTATGACAAATGTAAAATGGATCGTGATTAGACATGAGACACCAAAAACAAAGACAAACCAAACAAACTAAGCAAAACCTAACCATCAACAAAGGTTAAAAAAAAAGAAACATGGAGCCTGCGACAATTCCCACAAACTACCTCCTCTTCGTTCCTCGCAAGGCTGAACACAAACTCGGAATCAGAATATGTTAACATCAGTCCAAGCGGGAACTAAACACTTACACATTACAGTTATAGCAATGATTAATGCAAACTTACGCCCATCATGAAAACACGCTAAAACTTTACAGGTACAGTACAAAACAGGTAACAGCTACAACTATACGTTTAAAGGTAACTAAAGGGTGGACACATGCAGCTGTTGGGGATCGGAGTTCCTTGCCTGGTGTGGTGTGGTAGCGAGGTAGCCGGCAAGGGTCGCCGACTCGCCACCGCTGCGGTTGCTGGAACTGGGCCTCCCGGCTTGCATGGTGAACTGGGTGTGGCAGTGGCTCAGAGATCGTCGAGTCAAGGTAGAGGTGAACGGGGTGCTCAGCGGGGAGAGAGTGTTTAGAGCGGGCCTGCCCCAGGGCAGTGTGCTCTCGCCGTCCCTGTTTTTGTTATGGGCGGCGACACTCGTGCAAGATCTCCGCGACATCCCCGGTGTCTCACCGTATATGTACGCGGACGACACCGCAGCACTGTGCGCCGGGAACTCCATCCAAATAGCCAAAGACAGGGCCCAGAGGGCTGCAGACGCCCTTCTCGCCTGGGCAAAGAAGTCGAAGATGGTCGTTGCAGCTGAGAAGACCCAGATGCTGGTGTTGTCACAGTGGCACCGCGACGCAGTCGACTGCCAGATTAAGATGGCGGGGAAGACAGTGTCAGCCACGGACTCCATCAGCCTACTCGGCGTGCAGTTAGACCGTCTGCTCCACTTCGGCCCCCACTGCCATAAGCTGAGGAAGAAGGTCCGCCCACGCATCGCGCAGCTGCGTCAGCTGTCCGGACGCTCCTGGGGCCTCGAGGAGGACCTGCTCCGGACAGTAGCCAGCGGCTATGTCCGAGGAGCCCTGGAGCATGCCGCAGCAGCCTGGCTTCCTGCCACGCCGCCCTCCCACGTGGAACTTCTGGAGAGGGAAATGAGAGCAGCGGCGAGAGTCGTCACGGGGTGCACTCGCAGCACTCCGTCGGACGCGCTCATGGCGGAAGCGGGCCTTCTCCCGGTATCGGTGAGGAGAAGGACACTGGCTGCGCGTTTCCTGGCCAAGGCGACTGCGCTCCCCCCGGAGGAGCCGCTCCATCGAGTAGCCGCGTCGGACGCCCCGGCCCGTCTAAGATCCGTGACGGGCTGGAGAACCCTGGGACGAGAGATGTGGGAGGCGGCCGGTGTCGGCCCCCCTATCGACCCAGTATCGCAGGCGAGCGTCCCCCCGTGGGAAGTGAAGAGCGGGGTCACCATCAGCCTGGACGTGGGACCACTACCACTGAATGCGACTTCCACACAGAAGAGAGACGCGGCGACCTGTCACCTAGGTAGTCTGCCACAGTGCGCGACTTGGGTTTGGTCCGACGGCTCGGTGGAGGGAGGCATCACAAACGGCGGCGCTGGCGTTTTCATCGAGGACCCGGACGGCCAGCAGCACCTACTCACGGTGCCGGCGGGGAACGTCTGCTCCAGCTACCGTGCTGAAATGGTAGCCCTCAGAGAAGCGCTGAAGTTCCTGCTGGACCGACAAACCCTCCCTCCTGAGCCGATCGTGATATGCACGGACTCCCAGTCAGCTCTGGCGACACTCCGGGGTGGCCCCTCTACCCAAACAACCCTCATAGGAGGAGAAATCTGGGCGGCGCTTCAACAGCTGGCGGCCCGCGGCAGGCGTACCCACCTACAGTGGGTACCTTCCCACTGCGGCCTGCCCGGGAACGAGAGAGCGGACGAGCTGGCGAAGCAAGCTTCAGCACTGGACCAAGAGGAAGTCCCCGTCGACGCCATGACGGTGTACCGCGCGGTGGCAAGGACGGCGCGGGACCAGTGGGTCAGCGACTGGCCGCGCGGATGGTACCGCAGCCTCATGGGAGCGAAGCTGCCGGGACCAGTCAGACACCTGGATCGAGCGGAGGCGGTGGATGTGCACCAGTTGCGAGCGGGGCACTGGTCAGGCTCCGCCCAGTACCTCCACCGAATCGGCCGGAACCCGTCGCGACACTGCCCGCAGTGCGAAGACGTGGACTGCCAGGGTGCCCGTTGCCCCCTGTGCAGAGAGACGGCGGATACTCCGTACCACGTCCTGGTCGAGTGCCCGGCCCTGATGGGCGCCAGGCTGCGACTCACCGGGACAATCAGACCCAACAGGGAAGAGGTGCGGAGCGACGGAGTTGTCGCGGCCCTGGCGGCCGCGTTCAGGACTCTGCAGAGCCGTCAGGCTACAGTCGACTGAGGTCGACCTGGAGGGAACAAACAACAACAACAACAACAACTCGCCACCGCTCGTGCCGTCCGTCGTCCGCGGCAGCTGCCGGTCTCTAGCGTTCGAGTACGCCGAAGCCCAGCTCTCGCACTCGCTGCAGTGTGTCCACTCTCTTTCCCACGCCATGCTTCTGTTCCTTGAAGAACACGTAGCCACCGCGGGAATACACTGTGTATATCTTCTGCTCCCGCTTGGCGGCCAGCAGGGACCTGAAGATCCGGCTTCTAAGCTTGGTTAGCGACTCGTTTACATAGAGTTCCTTTCCGCGTAGCTCCATACGGCGACCCATCACGCGGTCACGAATGCTCCCCTCGCCCGAACGCACGAAGCGCACAATCACACGATTGTTCGGGCCAGGCAGGCGGTGGGCGCGGTCGATATCGCTGGCGGTGACCTCCAGTCCCGGCAGACACTGGTTCAGGGTGCTGATGACGAGACCGTTGATGTCCTCTCGCTCTTCCCACTCGCCGGCTCGCCCCGCAGCCCGCCCCCCGGCACCGCGGCCCGCCGACTGACCCGGTCCGCCGCTGTTCGGGCGATCAGCTGACTCTGACGTCACGGTCGGAGAACCCCGACCTGTGTCAGCCAGCGCGATCGGCCGAGGGTCGACCGCCGCAGGCGCTGTCTGGTTCGGCAGGGGCGGCTCCAGGCGGGGCGCGCGGCGGGCCGCCATGGCGGCGCCGGAGAGGATGATGCAGGGGAGTCTTGAATTAATCTCAGCCTCCTCTACCCGGGTCTCCAGCGTCGACACCACCGAGCGAGACCGGCCGAGCTCCTCGCTTAGCTGGTCAATAACGCCATCTCTCTCTTCCACGTGCCGCTCCAACTCTTTCACGCGACCGTTGAGCTTTTCGATCTCCGCCGATAACGACGTGCGGAACTCGTGGAGTTCTCTGGAGAATGCGGCCATCAGTCGTTCCTCCAGCCCGTCGATGGCGACGTCCAGTTGCTCTCTGAAGCCTCTGTTGCCGCCGAGTGTCGACGGGCTGCGGCCCGGCTCGCCGTTCCGCTCTCTGGCCCCGCGCTTGCAGGCGGGTGCAACGTCTCCAGACTCTGATCGGTCCCGCTTCTGTCCTTCACCGGCGGGGTCGCTGTAGTTGCGCACCAACTCACTGACGGATCGCTGATCGCAACTGGTGTCGGACGGGTGACCACCCGTCACACTGTCACTGTCCTCGCCTGTACACTGCGACGCGGCTCGGCGCGGCATGGCAGACGCACGTGTCTGCAGCGCGTTGGCAAAAATCGAAGGCACTAATGTCGCAGGCTCCACGTAAGTCTGAGGCTCACACTTTCATGTGTTCACTGTGGAGCCAACAAAAAGCCACCGGCACAGCAAACGAGGAGTGCGTGGTCACGCTCGGGGACTCCGCACTCTGCGTGGCTCAGCGGAGCAGCGCGCGCACGCGTCCTGACCCGCCCGCTGTCACCGGCCGACTGACCGATATAACTAACTATCCCGGCGCACACCAATCCCCCCGCGTCCGACACGTCACCCGTGGCAGACGCCGTGTCGCCGCCGACGGGGCTGGAGCTGTCGCCGCCGACGAGGCTGAACCTGTCGTCGAGACGGTCCCCGGGAGACGCACGGGACGCCAGCTGCGCGAGAGGATGGGCAGAGGGCTGAGCCGGCGCTGACGGGAGGAGTGGGAGCGGCCGCGCACAACGCCAGGTGCGGACAGGCCTGTAGCATGTGTAGCCGCGGTGAGGCCGCCCCAGGCGAGGCGTGTGCCGCAGGTTTGGGAAGACGGCAGGTTTAAAAGAGGGCTGGTTTGCCGCGGCGTACCGCGGATCGGCGTGGTGCTGCACACGTGGTGCGGTGGCCAGTGGACCTGCGGCGTTCATCGCATCGCCTCTCAACAGCCCACCCTACAGAGCGGCGCGGCGCCGGTCCGCTAATCAAGCTGACTTGCACTGCCAACCCTGCGGCACCCCACCACCACTCACTATAACCTCTGCCGAGCGGCAGCGCTGCCACCGGCTCAATCCGATACAACCGGTCACCAGTCCAGCCATTCGTAGTGACTGGACGCCGCGTGCCGGGCGAGAAAGCTCGACACACGACATCGGCACACCCAACCCTTCCCGGTCACAACGGAGTGGACGCAGCTCCCAGGTCAAACCAGCCGTGTCATGTGGTTAATCTCACCGAGATACATCGAGCGAACTCCTGGTCAACAGCCATTCACACCGCAAAAAAGGGCTCGAGAGGTGGGGTTGGTTGTTCTTTCCAGGTTCCTTCCGTGGAAGATCGAACTTGCATAGGTCAGATACGATGTTCTCTGGACGTGATCATACGAGAACAAGGGTGAGCGGTCCGGATTTCAATGCCGTTCCTCGCTCAAACAAAGAGCAACGATACAGTTGATGCGTGGGCTTAAGTTCCCATGCCGAAGTTGGCAGTGTTATTGATTGCAAGAGAAACTATGGCTCCAAATCCCGTTGGCTGCCTGCTTGCTGCATGATGTGCATATTGAGATTTCGCAGAACATTCACGAGTGGAGCTCTATTGAAAGCTTCGGAAGTTTTGCGCCCAATCCCCCACGGATCTACATAAAATAGAGGATTTTATTAACTCCTTGAAATGGTTTTTAGAAATAGAAATTGAAATCACTAGCATTTAAGCTCACACAAATAAAATGTGCTAAGTATTGGTGAGATGAGAACAAATATTATTGCCAAACGTTGAGCCGATATCATGACGAAATTATCACGTCAAATAGAAAACAAACAGACTAGTGTAGCCAGTCATCGCCATTGTTTTGTCTCGCACTGCTAGGATACGTCACCAATGGAACAATTGAGCTATCACCAAACATTGGGCCCGTTGCATCATTCCGGTCGAGGCGTCGACGAGAGACCCACAGCGTCAGACGCAGCACTGGGACGGCCGATCACCCTTCCAGTACTCATCAGGATATCAGTGGCAGTCCACAGTTACTCTCGGGTTCACCACCCGACCGCCCTTCATCGGAACAACAGAGGGACATCGGCCGCCGGGGGAGCACCAAGGGACCGCCAAGGGACCGCCGAGGGACCACCGAGGGACCGTAGAGGGACCGGTCCCCACCCCTCGCTGCACCGAACCACCATCAGAGGGACCGCGCCGGTCTGAGGTCGCCTCCAACATCAACAGAGGTGCAGGAGGGTGCCGAGCCGTGCCCCCTGGCACCGGCACGACGCGTGACCGCCGCCAGGGGGCGTCTCTGGCCTGGGGGTCGTTGTCGACACGCGGACAGCGGCTCACGGGCCGCTACTACCGGCCGTAAACAGTGGACGGTAGACACTGCAGAGTGCAGACCGCAGCAGTCGGACCGCACGGCGGCGCGGGAGGGAAGGAGGGAGGGGCTGAACAGGGTTACCAAGCTCTCTAAGGTGGTGTAACTCGACAGTCGACAGAGTCATCTGAATTGGTTTAGAAGACAGGTAAATTGTATCAATGAGTAAACCAATCAGACCATGCACCACGTAACATCAATATCACTACCAAGAACAAACTTACTGACCTTTGCCCAACATTCATTTGCGTTACCCATGAAAGCTCCTGACCAACCAAAGCCATCCAAACTCCAAAGCTTTCGGGCGCTCAGCCCCGATACAGTCGAGTCTGCACCTCTCCTCCACGACAGCCCCCCTCCTCTGCCCGGCTATACCTGCAGCCCGTGTTATTCTATTTCCTCACACGTCCGCTGACACCGCCGCCCGCTGGCGGTTCCCTGCCGGTCCGGGGCGACTGAGACCCGCGGCACGTGGGGCGAGCCCACCGGCACGTGGCACGTAGGAGTGCGGTCAGCGGCCGGCCCGTGTCATGACTCCCCATGGAGCTGACAGCCGATGGATCCGAATTCTGCGGTCATGGCTGGTAGCTGAATACGCCTACCAATACGCGGAAGTGCCGCAGCCAACCGACGTGCTCTGGTATTTCGCCGGGGAATATACGAACGTAGGCGTTCCGTAGGTCGAGCCTGTCATTATCATGACACTCAGCCAGGGTTGAAATGTATGATCCCACATATGTTGGAGATCGGTAGGTGACAGGCAGAAATGACTCATGACATGACGGTCGAAATGAATGGGAGAGGAGATGCTTCCTGAGAGCTAAGGGGCCCATAGAAATCACCCGGCACACCCGTCAAATGTTATTCTAGTTTCACCCAAAGCTGGACGGCGGCCAGTCAGTTTGGACATTGACACATGTCCCAGTTGCTACTTATTATGTAACCTGGGCAGTGTCCCAAAACTTGATGGTTTGGGTGGGAAGCGACACCTAAATCAAAATAATATTCCACTCTCACCTCCAATTTTCCAGAGCGATTTTTCACTCCCTGTTGTATTAATCATCCTATAATGCAGCTCCTGCACCCTCTAACATTCACAAATAAATTGTTGATCCCTGTTTTCAACCTTTTTTTGTGCCGTTCTGACTCAATTTTTCACTCTCAGCCCTCTTTGTAGTGACGAATATTCCCCTCCGACACCCAAGCCAAAACATATTTTTGGGTCACTGAACCTGGGCAATCTAAGATGGACGCTGCGTGCGCAGACCGTGCAGCGTTCCGTCTACTTCTCGCAGGAAAGCAGGAAAACCGTACTGGTGCACCAAGACGGCCGCGGATATCAGACGGTTGTCCGGGTTGTCGACGAAAGGCCTCGAGATACCTTCATCGGGCACAACGTCTACGCCTCATAATTCATGCGGAATAACATTTTTGACTTTCTGAATGAGCATTTTTGACAAAACCGCTTCATACTGCAAGTGTCAAATAGTGTAGTTCAGGAAAATGCTGACAGCATACCCAAATTTCCCCCAAATCAATGAAAACAGCAAAATTATCAATGCGGAGTGTGAACGGTCAATTCAAGGCTATAGAACTCTGGTCAAATAAAGAAATAGTTACTTTCTTACAAATAAATATTTCAAGTAAAAACAACCATTACTAACGGCACAAGTGGCCCCTGCACTTGTGCACCTAGGCCTTCGCCGACCCAGAATGTGCGCAGTGCGCAGCAACGAGCAAGGAACCTGCACCGTTTGCATCACCCGGGTCAAGTTACGTCAGCAAGAAAGGAGCGTAGGCCCATGAATAAAATGTGGACGGCGAAATAAAATGTACAAACAGCAGGAGCAGCATTTTGCGATCAGACAATCAATTCCATATCGCCCCAACAAATTGAGGACTAGTCAAATTCAAATTTCTAAAATCATGCAAGCCACGTTGCTAGTTAAAGGGACCCTCCCACCTTAACATTAGTTTTGAGTTGAGATAGCCAAGTTTGCGGCCAGGCTCAGAAACAACCATTTATCCTGGTCGCATCCCCCGCAGCTTTATGGTGTTCAAGAAATTTCTTCCCTTTACTTGCAGGGTGGGACCAGCGTGGTCCCTATCTCTTAACCATTACGGGAGTCTGATGACGTCATCAGGCTTTCGAACGTCCGTTAAATGTTTGACTAAAACGTTTTGTAGCACGCGGTGGTATATGCTGCTTTGCGCGCAACAAATGCCGCACTTTCAAATAAAGTCGCTAGGAACAGCGGAGATCCCAAAAAGTAAACAAAAGTAAAAGTCTAATATCTTGAAAACCGGTGAATATTTTTCGATGAAATTTGGTAGATATTCGTTTTTGCTCTTTCTGAACCGAGCGACATCACTTTCATGCCAATTCATTAACTTTTTTGAAGGTGGGAGGGTCCCTTTAATACCTAGACCGGGAACGAAGCACCTCGAGCGGCTCAGCTAGAAATATTAAACAATAACTTTTTACTAATTGCGCATCTCACGTGCATCTCACGTGGTTCCCATCATACAGCTACAAAGCAGTCCAATGCTGACTGCCGTATCGTTCCCACTTCCTGTGTTTCACGTGACCATGTCTTGCTACCCCGTGCTAGTTCAGGTCGTAGCATGTTGCCGCCGTGTCAGTGTCAGATATACCACGTCTCGTGTCACGGAGTAGTGCGTCATGACGCTCTCATCGCACCAAATCGCCCCCGTGTCACATCGCGTCGAAGTGTCAACTTTATACGGCGCCGTTCCAGGCAGTGTCATGTCGCAGCCTATCTCGGGTTCTGTCGCACCATTTCGTGTCAAACCGTGCCGTGCCGTGCCCTGCCTGACCAGCAGGGCACACCACAACACACCGGCTCCCTGCCACGGGCGGTCTCCGCCGGCCGCGGTCCGGGTGGGCCACGGCGCCGGCCAGCGCGGCTCACAGAGGTGAATGACACTGGCAGCGGCCGCCGCCGGCCGTCTCACTCACCTGTAGAACGGTATCCCAGACCCCGCTCAGGGTGCTGCTCTGTGCTCGCTGTATCACTGCAGCCGTCGCACGCTCACAGGACACCTTCCTCTCACAGCGCCCGCTGCACTAGGCTGTATCGCGCGCGAACCCACAACCAGGAAGT